TAACTCTCCTGGGTCTTGGGAAGTCCTCTTTAAGAATGTCAAGGCAGTTGGTACCTCACTCTGTTCCAACAAAGCTGTTATGTACTGAGTTGAATAGGATCCAAAATGCAGCAGTCTGATTGGTCCTAGAACAATAGGATTCAGAATGCAGCAGTCTGATTGGTCCTAGAACAATGCAGCAGTATGATTGGTCTGCAGGAGCCACCCAATCCAGCTCCAGGTGGAAGTGAATCCGCAACCTGATTGGCCTACAGGAGAATTCCGGAATTAGCCAATCACATGCAGCCCATTGTGTAAATAATGTATATAAAGCAGATACTTTAGGGGAACATATACCTCCTCACCACTATGAGCTGAATAAAGAGCATGAATTCCACTCTCAACTCCGAGTATATTTCAGAAGCATTGATCTCTCCTTGAACCAACCCAGTCCATCTCCTTCCAACAGACAGAGTTAAGAGGGCAGGTGGTTCAAACAAATGGGTGGCTGGAATTGAGCCGCTCCACATCTTTCCCCTGACACCGTGTGCTAGAGGTTGTTATGGGCGGTGTGGTTATCACCACAAAAGCATGTATCACCTGAACGGGGGCTCGCTTTCACTCCTTTGCTGATAAAGGCCCGTCTCTTTGCCACCAGTCATTCACAGCTTCCCTTCTCTCAGTGCCAGACTCTCCAACCATGCTGGGAAAGCCACTTCCTTGCCAAGAAGCAGTAATGATTTCCTCCTCTCTTCCAGATCTTGCGGCCATCGAACTGTGCCACAATCCAGAGCATTGTGAAAGCCGTCAGAGTCATTCCAGGCGTTCCAGAGCCCTGCTGTGTCCCCTACAAAATGAACTTTCTGGCTGCTCTGCTCCTTGATTCGAGCAGATACATTGTGTTAACAGCGTACCCCAATACGCCTGTACATGCCAATAAATTTGGCAGGTGTATACGCGATTAGCATTTGATCAGTCTTTGGATGAGTGGACTTGAAATTGCAATCATCTTCGGCAGTGGGGGGATTGGTTACACATTTTGTCTTCTGATGCTTTCTTAACTTGCATAACAGAGATAATGTTGTTTACCATATTCTTCTATATTTAGTGTCACCCCCCAAAGCTCAACCTCCTAAGAATTTTCAAAGGAAAACTGTGTTTCCGGGATAAGAAACGGACACTTCTTCACTTGCGTACGTACACAAACACAATATTTCCATGCAGAATCTGGTCCATTCATGCAGCATTTATACTAAGAAGTTGAACTCACGGAGATATATGTGCCTAGATAGGTAGAATGTTAGTATAGCAAAAGGAAAGGTGGAAAAGCCCTGTGCGTGGTGAATCATTATTTCCCAATTAATATCACACACCTGCGTGAGGAACCCTCTTCTTAAAGACTGGGAACAGAAGGAGACATTCCTCCTTCCATCCAGTCATGTGTTGAGAAACCTGGATTACTGCGTATGGCAGAGCTCTCTGCCAGAACTCTCCACTCAGGTCAGGAGGTGGCAACGCTAAAGGCAGCCAGAGAGGCACTGAGTCTCTTTTATCTTTCAAACAAACAGCAAAGGTGACAGGATTCAATCATCCGAATGAGGTCTCCTCCAGATTTTGAAAGGGTTCCTATCTTAGCTCTAGTACACAGAGGAAAGCAGAGGTTTGTTGTTGTTGTTTAGTCGTTTAGTCATGTCTGACTCTTTGTGACTCCATGGACCAGAGCACGCCAGGCACTCCTGTCTTCCACTGCCTCCCGCAGTTTGGTCAAACTCATGTTCGTAGCTTCGAGAACACTGTCCAAACATCTTGTCCTCTGTCGTCCCCTTCTCCTTGTGCCCTCCATCTTTCCCAACATCAGGGTCTTTTCCAGGGAGTCTTCTCTTCGCATGAGGTGGCCAAAATATTGGAGCCTAGCTTCAGGATCTGTCCTTCCAATGAGCACTCAGGGCTGATTTCCTAAAGAATGGAGAGGTTTGATCTTCTTAAGCAGAGGTTTAGAAGTTTCCAAAAGGCTGAGTAGGCCTTATTTAGTCTGGGAGCTGTCGAATGAAACCCAGGGCTCTTGGATGAGGCCACCCAAGTGAGTACACACACAAACCACACTAGCCAGGGCTGTCTTTACGATACGATACGATACGAAAATCTTTATTGTCATTGTCCCATACAGAACAACGAAATTGAAAATCTACCTCAGACATTCAGAAACCAACAAGCCTGCTATCCCAGCTATTCCATCCTGCTTAGCCCCCTAAAAACTCTGATACCCCGTAATTAAATACAATATACATAGAGACTACCATAAATACAAAATACATAGAGAGTACCTTACACTGCGTTTAAAATCGCATTTGGATAGAAACTGTTTCTCAGGCGGCTAGTCCTAGTCTTTATAACCCTGTACCTTCTTCCAGAAGGCAAAAGCTGAAAGAGATCATTTCCGGGGTGCGCACTATCCTGCGCTATCTCTGCAGCTTTCTTATGGCACCTGGCAGCATAGATTTGATCCAAGGTAGGGAGAGTGCACCCAATTATTCTGGGGGTCATGGGGTGCAGGGCACCTGAGTGCTGAATTCTGGGGGGCGCCAAATATATACCTACTGTATACTGGTCCCTCTCTATTGGCAGCAGTGAAAAGCAACTGCGCCATAGAACTTGCTTCCCTCGGAGGCTTGCCTGAGCCCCATAAAGAGTTTCATGTTGGGACGCAGTATATCTAAGGAAGGAAGCGTTACGTGCAAAAAGGCTATATAACAATAACAATTTATTATTTATTATTGCCGCCCATTCTGAGTGTGTTGCCCCAGGTACTCTGGGCAGCTCCCAACAAAATAATAATACAGTGGTACCCCGCAAGACGAATGCCTCACAAGACGGAAAACCCGCAAGACGAAAGGGTTTTCTGTTTTGGAGGCGCTTCGCAAGACGAATTTCCCTATGGGCTTGCTTCGCAAGACGAAAGCCCATAGGGAAATCTCCGGGGACCTGTTTTAAATTGCTGGCGGTCGGGAGCAAAGACTTTCGCCCACAGCCGGCCTTCAGAAGAGGTCCTGGACCTCTTCTGAAGGCCGGCGGGGGGCAAAAGTCTTTGCTCCCCCCGCCTGCCTTCCCGGGACAGCGGAGACTTCTCCGCTGCCCCGGGCGATCTTAAAATGCTGGCGGGCGGGAGCGAACGCTTCGCTCCCGACCCCCAGCATTTTAAAATCTTTGGGCGAGTGTCTGCAAGCCTCGCGCACCCGGCAGGAGGTCCCGCCGGGTGCGCGAGGCTTGGGGCGGCAGCCTGTCGCCCGAAGCACGGGGAGCCCTCCGGAGGGCTTCCCTGCTTCGGGCGAGTGTCAGCAAGCCTCGCGCACCCGGCAGGAGGTCCCACCGGGTGCGCGAGGCTTGGGGCGGCAGCCTGTCGCCCGAAGCACGGGGAGCCCTCCGGAGGGCTTCCCCTGCTTCGGGCGAGTGTCTGCAAGCCTCGCGCACCCGGCAGGAGGTCCTGCCGGGTGCGCGAGGCTTGGGGCGGCAGCCTGTTGCCCGAAGCACGGGGAGCCCTTCGGAGAGCTCCCCTTGCTTTGGGCGAGTGTCTGCAAGCCTCGCGCACCCGGCAGGAGGTCCCACCGGGTACGCGAGGCTTGGGGCGGCAGCCTGTCACCCGAAGCACGGGGAGCCCTTCGGAGAGCTCCCCTTGCTTTGGGCGAGTGTCTGCAAGCCTCGCGCACCCGGCAGGAGGTCCCGCCGGGTGCGCGAGGCTTGGGGCGGCAGCCTGTTGCCCGAAGCACGGGGAGCCCTCCGGAGGGCTTCCCCTGCTTCGGGCGAGTGTCAGCAAGCCTCGCGCGCCCGGCAGGAGGTCCCCGGAGCTTGCGGGGCGGGAGGTGGGAAGAAGGGCTTTTTTTCCCCACCGCCAGCCTTCAGAACAGCCTTCTGAAGGCTGGCAGTGGGAAAAAAGCCCTTGTTCCCCCCCCCCCCAGCCTTCAGAAGAGGTCGGGGGACAGACTGTCCCCGGACCTGGTCTGAAGGTGGTTTCCCTAGGAACGCATTAATTGATTTTCAATGCATTCCTATGGGAAACCGTGCATTGCAAGACGAAAAACTCGCAAGAAGAAAAAACTTGCGGAACGAATTAATTTCGTCTTGCGAGGCACCACTGTAATAATAATAATAATAGATTCAGGTAGATAGCCGTGTTGGTCTGATGCAGTCGAAATATAAATAAACAATAAAAAAATTGTCCAGTAGCACCTTAAAGGTAAAGGGACCCCTGACCATTAGGTCCAGTCATGGCCGACTCTGGGGTTGCGGCGCTCATCTCGCTTTATTGGCCGAGGGAGCTGGTGTACAGCTTCTGGGTCATGTGGCCAGCATGACTAAGCTGCTTCTGGCAAACCAGAGCAGCACACAGAAATGCCGTTTACCTTCCTGCTGGAGCGGTACCTATTCATCTACTCACACTTTTTGGTGTGCTTTTGAATTGCTAGGTTGGCAGGAGCAGGGACCGAGCAACGGGAACTCTCCCCGTCGCGGGGATTTGAACCATCGACCTTCCGATCGGCAAGTCCTAGGCTCTGTGGTTTAACCCACAGCACCACCTGCGCACCTTAGAGACCAACTAAGTTTGTTCTTGGTATAAGCCTTCGTGTATCTGAAGAAGTGTGCATGCACACAAAAGCTTATACCAAGAACAAACTTAGTTGGTCTGTAAGGCGCTACTGGACAATAATAATGTTTGTTACTTACCGGAAAAACCAAGGAATTGCCATCATATCCACCCAAGTGATAACTGACAGTCCTGGGGGGGGGGGAGAGAGAGATGACAGAAAGCAGATCATCTTCTGTGTACAAACAATAGCGCTTAGCTGATAAATGAGTCCCCTTTATTTGCATCGTCACAGGATTGTGTCTTACATCAGAACACATCGGCGCCATTTGGAAAGTATTTTAAGGAACTTTGGTGCTGTAGTGGGGGTGTTAATATTTTGCTGCGGGAATCTAGGAAAACACTTTACAAACCTCCCTCCCCTCCCCCTCCAAGCTCCTATCAGGCATCCTAAAATACATATTGTCGCTGGCAAGGAAATGACAACGGGACATCATTAAGCAACGATGACCCCCCAAAGGAGAACATAGATTCCATCGTGGATGCCATGGCTTTTCATGAGCCATATGTGCTCGTCCGCATGTTTATAGAATCTTCATTAGTGAAGAGCCGTAATAGATAAGGGACTGAAATGTTAGCATCAATCGCTGAGATAAGGGCAAGTGTATGACCAGTCTACTTGACAATTCACAAGGGGCTGGGGCTGGGGAAAAGAGCGGCCGCAACACAGCTTCAGAAAGTGTCTCGCTTTTGGTTTTGCTCCCCTACTCACTCCCCAGACTCTAATCGGACAAGACGTTCCTGGATCTCTGTTGGCTTTTCCCTCACCGGAGAACGAAGCACATGCAAAATGTACTGTTTTGGTGCCTTGGCTCTTGTGAATGTCGTCTTCGTCCACCTGACCAACAGCAAACCTGTGGATGTTAGGAGCGGATTACTCACCGCGGGGAACTCTCCCGAACACTCCGGTGACCTTGGGAATATGGATGAAGAGGCCCCTTTCGACTTTCAGGCTTTCCTGGAGAATCTGAAAGCCGATTTCTTGAGGAACTTGAACCTATCAGAGATACCTTCACAGGAGAAGATGAAAGAGGAGCCACCCCAATTCATGATTGAGTTGTACAATCGATATACCAAGGACAAGTCTTCCAGCCCCATATCCAACATTGTCCGTAGCTTCAGTCCTGAAGGTATGAGGGTTTTCTTCCGCAATGTGTGGGCTTGGTTTTCCCGGTGGGTAGGAATCCTACAGTGGAATCCTTTGTGTGCCTATTCAAAAGTAAGTCCTATTAAGTTCAATGGATCTTACACTAAGTGTTTACGAAATTGCAGCTGTAGTTACTTGCTCTATCAGCAAGCCTGATCGTTCTTCACTTTTCCTTATACAGTGGTACCTCAGGTTAAGTACTTAATTCATTCCGGAGGTCCGTTCTTAACCTGAAACTGTTCTTAACCTGAAGCACCACTTTAGCTAATGGGGCCTCCTGCTGCCGCCGTGCCACTGGAGCCCGATTTCTGTTCTCATCCTGAAGCAAATTTCTTAACCTGAAGCACTATTTCTGGGTTAGCAGAGTGTGTAACCTGAAGTGTATGTAACCTGAAGCGTATGTAACCTGAGGTACCACTGTATAATATAAAAGATGTTGTTTTCTTTTTAAATCAAGAAGAAATCAGATACCAGCAATAAACTGATAATGTAATTTAGGGCTTACTTGTCAAAACATCTCTGGCACTCTGCCCCTGCCAACTGGACAGCCAGCCAACCCTTCTGAGTTTATTTCTCATGTCAATTGTCTCCCCAGCGAAGGTTCCTGTTTCTGGCAGCGGCCAAACCACAATACTTCAATAGGGTTTTAAAATTAGCGGTAGTTTTCATGAAATTGTGGTTGCCACGCGTCCAGAATTTCAGCCGGGCTGTAATGTCAAAGAGTAGATATTTTCGAGATTTTGCAGGGGGGGCGACTTTGGGGGAAACTCAAAAACTCAACAGTGTTGGTGCCCCCTCCCCCCAAAAAGCTCAGCAACTTTGCCAAAAACCATTTTGCTCAAAAACATTTGTGTCCGGATTTTCAATTATTGAAATATGACAGCCCTATTAAAAAAGCAACCACGCCAAACTACCGGTAAGCCTTGAGCCCATCTTCATTTGCTATGCTTTAAGGGAGACCCGAAAATGCTTTTCTCTTTGCACCAATGTGAAGACACCTTAGGGTGCTTTTTAAAAAAGTGAAACTAATAAAAAGAATAGCAACTAGGACCAAATTTCAGGAACAATTTTAGGCGCCAGTTCCTGGGGGCCAAGGCACTTTGCCAGTTTTGGGGGGGGGTTGTTTTTGTTTTTTTGAGGGCCTCCTCAATGTTCAGAGGATGTTCAGCTCCACTCCCTGACTCCTTGCATGCGATGTCAGCACATGGCGTTGGGCCCCCTCAACTGCCCTGAGAAGCTGGCACCCCTGGGAACGCTACCAGGAATAGAATTCAGATAGCAAAATAATTGTGATTGTTAAGGTTATTGATTTGTTTTGGTTCCGGTTATGTATTTTTTGTTTGCTCTTGTTTTGCATTACAGTGGTACCTCAGGTTACATACGCTTCAGGTTACAGACTCCGCTGACCCAGAAATAGTGCTTCAGGTTAAGAACTTTGCTTCAGGATGAGAACAGAAATTGTGCTTCAGCAGCACGGCAGCAGCAGGAGGCCCCATTAGCTAAAGTGGTGCTTCAGGTTAAGAACAATTTCAGGTTAAGAACGGTCCTCCGGAACAAATTAAGTACTTAACCCGAGGTACCACTGTATTATGTTGTGAACCGCCCTGGGATCTTCAAATGAAGGGCAGTATATAAATTTAATTAAATAATAATAATAATAATAATAATAATAATATAAAATGTGCTCAGCAATTCTATTCGCTTATGACCTTTACAAAGAGGAGCTCCAAAAGGGACAGAAAGTTAAGTGGAAACTCTCTCTGCCCCCGCCCCCCAAAGTGCATGCCAGAATTACTCCCCTCATCCCTTGCCATGTCATGGCGCAGTCCTCATAGAAGGCCATTAGGTAAAAGTAAAGGACCCCTGGACAGTCAAGTCCAGTCAAAGGCATCTGTGGGGTTGCAGTGCTCATCTCGCTTTCAGGCCGAGGGAGCCGGCGTTTGTCCACAGACAGCTTCCCGGTTCATCTGGCCAGCATGACTAAACCGCTTCTGGTGCAACGGCACACTGTGGCAGAAACCAGAGCGCACAAAAACGCCGTTTGCTTTCCTGCCAGAGTGGTACCTATTTATCTACTTGCACTGGTGTGCTTTTGAACTGCTAGGTTGGCAGGAGCTGGGACCAAGCAACGGGAGCTCACCCCGTTGTGGGGATTCGAACCACCGACCTTCTGATCGGCAAGCCCAAGAGGCTCAGTGGTTTAGACCACAGCGCCACCAGCGTCCCACAAGGAGGCCATTACTAGGTAAATGGAAGGAGGAGCAGAGAAATCAACCTGTGATTTCTTGGGCTTTATCCAGTTTGGCTGCTGAGTGTGCATGTGTTTCATTTGTGCCACAGTGAAGTCCTTCGCTGCTTGTTTATGGGCAGATAGCTGGCCAATAAGTTACCAAATGCTAGTGGCTAGGATATATAATTTGTTCTGTAGTGCCTGAAACTGATCCATGCTTTAAATCGGCGTGAGACCTTTATGTATAAACTGGGATCAGGGCTTGCCTTACTATTAGACAAGGTGGGACATTGGTCTCAGGCAGCAGATGTTGGAGAGCAGTTACAGTAGCCCTCAGCTGTTCCTCTTGAACCCCCAAGGTGTTCCTCACTGTTGCGGAACACCACTTAGTATGTTGCATGGCTTCTCCTGGTTCTCTCCCCCCACCAAAAAAAAAAAAAAAAAATTACCCTTCTGCCTCAAGCACAATGGAGGGTGCCATTTTGTTGCTAGTACAGCTGGTGATTCTGCTGCCAGCCCAATTAACAGGCAATCAAACGTTTTGGGGAAAACCCTGGGCTTTTTTCATTGACGCCCTCCCCACTTTCAGGGCAGGTAAGGGGGGCCCATTCATCCTGAGAGAAACAAAACAAGCCCATAACCTCCAAACCTCTGATGAAAATGTTGTTGTTGTTGTTTAGTCGTTTAGTCGTGTCCGACTCTTCGTGACCCCATGGACCAGAGCACGCCAGGCACTCCTGTCTTCCACTGCCTCCCACAGTTTGGTCAAATTCATGTTAGTAGCTTCGAGAACACTGTCCAACCATCTCGTCCTCTGTCGTCCCTTTCTCCTTGTGCCCTCCATCTTTCCCAACATCAGGGTCTTTTCCAGGGAGTCTTCTCTTCTCATGAGGTGGCCAAAGTATTGGAGCCTCAGCTTCACGATCTGTCCTTCCAGTGAGCACTCAAGGCTGATTTCCTTCAGAATGGAGAGGTTTGATCTTCTTGCAGTCCACGGGACTCTCAAGAGTCTCCTCCAGCACTGATGAAAATAGGGACATCCTATTCAATCGTGGTGGTGGTGATGGTGATGATTATGATATTTATACCCCACCCAACTGACTGAGTTGCCCCAGCCACTCTGGGCAGCTTCCAACATACAGTGGACCCTCCAAATATGAATTAAATTCATTCCAGGGGTCCGTCCGCATCCTGAAAAGTCCGTAGGCAGAGGTGCTGCTTCTGCACGCGTTCATAACCTGAAAGTTACATAACCAGAGTGGTACGTAACTAGAGGGTCCACTGTATATAAAAACATAATTTTTTAAAAAACTTTCCTATTCGGGGCTGCCTTCAGGTGCCTTCTAAAGGTTGTATAAATACTTATTTCCTTGGCTCAGGGGCCACAAAACTCCATACCCTCCAACATTTCTCCAGTGAAAATAGGGGCATCCTAAGGAAAAGTGGGACATTCCAGGATCAAATCAGAAACCAGGGCGGCTTCTGTAAATCTGGGACTGTCCCAGGAAAATAGAGACACTGGGCGGGTCTAGATCTCTCTCTCTCTTTGCCAGGCAGTTTTCTTTTAATGCACTGAAATCATTCCACAACAATAGGAGATGGAGGCTTTAGATACTGAACCTCGCTGTCATAGTCGGTCTGTTAGAAATATTAAAAGGATCCCTAATTTCACCCATAAAATGTTTAGGGGTACATTCATTTTCCTACTCATATTGAAATACTGCCCCTCAATGAGGCCAAACTTAGATTCACTAAATGTTTAGGGGTATGTGTACCCCTGTGTCCCCCCAGAAAAAAGCAATGATGATGATGATGATGATGATGGTGGTGAGATGATGATGAGGATGATGGTGATATTTTAATTTATTTGTACCCCGCCCAACTGACTGGGTTGCCTACATTTCATATCTCCCACCCTGCAATAACAGAGAGCTATGGTAACAATAGGGACGTGGGTGGCGCTGTGGGTTAAACCACAGAGCCTAGGGCTTGCCGATCAGGAGGTCGGCGGTTCGAATCCCCGTGACGGGGTGAGCTCCCATTGCTTGGTCCCTGCTCCTGCCAACCTAGCAGTTCGAAAGCACATCAAAGTGCAAGTAGATAAATACGGTAGGTACTGGTCCAGCGGGAAGGTAAACGGTGTTTGCATGCGCTGCTCTGGTTTGCCAGAAGTGGCTTAGTCATGCTGGCCACATGACCCGGAAGCTGTATGCCGGCTCCCTCGGCCAATAAAGCGAGATGAGCGCCGCAACCCCAGAGTCGGCCATGACTGGACCTAATGGTCAGGGGTCCTTTACCTTATGGTAACAATGCTTATCAATTTTCTCCCACAGATATTGCCTCAGGGGAAATGGACCCCTTTCAGAAATACATCTTGCTTTTCAACCTCTCCATCCCATGGCATGAAGAAGTCACCAGAGCTGAGCTTCGGATCCACACTGCTTGCCAGGAGGAGGCAGAGTGTTTCTCTCGCCTTCAGGGAAAGGTGGTCATCTACAGCAGTCTAGGAGGGGATCCCTGGGAGAAACCAAAAGAGGCCCAATCTTTCCTAGTCTCCAAAGAAATCCACGAATGCGGCTGGGTGATGTTTGACATGTCTGGCACTGTGAAAAGATGGGTCAAGGCGGAGAAAGCAAGGACTACCAGCCAGCTACAGATCACCATGGAAAGCCATGTTCACAGGGAGCCCCCCTGTGGAAAGCCGTGCATCAGTGTAACACCAGAGTCCAACCGTTTGCCCTTGCTGATAGTGTTTTCCAACGATAATGGCAACAGAATCAAGGAGAACCAAAGGGAACTTCAGGAAATGATGGCGCACGAACAGGAGAGCGTGCTTAAGAACGACACTGTTCACAAGCAGAATGCGTTGCCTTTCGGCGGAACCCACCGTTTTCCATCTAGAAGCAAACGCAGCGTTGAAAGCAACCACTGTCGGAGAACGTCTCTTCATGTCAACTTCAAAGAAATTGGCTGGAATTGGATCATTGCGCCCTCGGATTATGAGGCGTTTGAGTGCAAAGGGGGCTGCTTCTTTCCTTTGACCGATAACGTCACCCCGACCAAACACGCTATCATCCAGACCTTGGTTCACTACAAGAACCCCAAGAAAGCAGCCAAGGCTTGTTGCGTTCCCACCAAGCTGGAAGCCATTTCCTTGCTTTACAATGACGATGCCGGGACGCCCACTCTAAAATACCAGTACGAAGGGATGAAGGTAGCAGAATGTGGCTGCAGGTAGGAGAGCAGAGGACCTCTCCTTCATAACTGAACCAAGCGGTGGAAATATCTCTGCGGATATTTCATAGAATGGCACTTGTTGGAAATAAATGGCTGAGTATGCAAACAGTTGTCTTCCAAGCTGACACCTACCTTTCTCTCTCTCAAGAGACAGACAGACACACACAGAGAGAATCTGAGACCAAAACTGAAAAATTGGAACAGCTACAGCTTCTCTTAGGCCTATTGCATTAGCAGGTCCCCTCAATGCCCACCCATGGTACTGCAAATGTGTCTAGTAGTATTTGAGTTTGATGCATCTCACAGTCCATGCTAGATCTGCTTAGGAAACTGGCCACCTGATCCACATGCCTTCATGAACTTCTAATTCTGCCTTTTTTGCAGTGTCTCTTCATTCTTTCTGAGGCTGAGCATGGAAGTATTGGCAATTTGAGGCAGTAGCCGTACGAAACATTTCGTTTTGCCATCGTGTCCGTTGCGTTGTAACCATGTTCCTTCCCATTTTCCTTTCTCCATGACAATGTCGAGCTCTACATACTGTTTCTAAGCCCATATAATACCATTGTCCCTCTTTTGTTTTCCAGAATATTGACATTTTCTCGTTTCAAATTATTATTTCCCCCTGTTTGCCAGATAGTAATAAAAGATACACTTAGCAGCTTGAAATTCTTAGCAGCACTTTAACCCAAAGGGGAGCTGTTGAGACGGCAAGTACAAAGTCTTTAAAATTTTGTCAACAAGCTATTTGGCAAAGAAGAGGAGCGAAGGTGAGGGAATTTAATTTAATTTATTTCCCATACTTTGCCCTAAGGCATAGCTGTCAACTTACAGATTTGAAAATAAGGGACCAGCAGCCTCGAAAATAAGGGACCAGCAGCCAAAATAACGGATTTTGCTAGCACAGGTATGTTTGACTTCTGAGCCCCTCCAAGCCAAAGGCAGAAAGCCCAGCCAGCAGCCAAATGAAGCCTCAAGCAGTGGTTCCCCAGCGCAGCAACCCAGCAAAGGGGATGCAGCAAGGAAAACCACCGTCACCTCTCCGCTGGGAAGCGCTGAGCAAAGGCGAGTTCCCAGGCAACGCGGCCGATTTGATCGGCAGAAGGCATGCAAGCTCCACCCCCCAGTCGTTCTTAGACTCCTTATTGGGTGAGCAATGCAGCCAAGCAACACAGTTGGAGCCTCCCTTCTTCCTGGCCATCAGGGAGGGAGGGAGGGGAGCTGCTTCCTTTGAAACCTGGGAAATTTAAGGGACATCATCAATAAGGGCCACAGCGGGACACAGCACTGGGATAAGGGAGTTTCCCGCCAAATAAGGGATGGTTGGCAGCTATGCCCTAAGGTCCTAAACTGTGGCTGCAGAGACTGGTAATTCATAACTGCTGCCTCTTGTGTTGTTTTTTGCCCTCCCTGGGGCGCAAGCCTGGGCAGTGTGTCTGGGGGTCTTGGGCTGCTCAGACAACAGGACCCACCACTCTCGGCCTCGCTGACGTGGTCCAAAGGAAAGCAGAGCAATATGCTTGGCATCAGCTAGGCTGCAGGAGTTGCCAGAAGGAGGCACGCAAGGTGCCATCCAACCGTCTTAGGGACTTCACTCTGGATTTGTGTAGGGCCTACTCCTTTTCTTCTCCCGGAGATATCTGTCAGGAGTGAGTGAAGGAGCCAGGCCCTGTGACCGGTAAGGCTTCACAGGCCTGGGGCTTTTCTAAGTTTGTTCTGAAGAGGCAAGGCGCGGCCTCGCAGGTGAGGCCAATTGGTAACTCACAGCACCTGGTGGCAAGAGCCCGGAAGGGATATAAGGTCAGCATTTCCCTTTGGCTCATGGCCACAGCAACACGCTTCCTGCCTTGCTGCGTTTGGCTTCTTGAGTCCTGGTTTCCTGACCCTTAGATCCTTGGCTTCCTGACTCCTGGCTTCCGGACTCTTGTTCCTGCTCCCACCCCACCGTCTTGCCCCCGGTCCCGACATTCTCCACCAGGACTTCGACCGCCTGTAAACTGGACCGTGACAATATCCCGCAAGGCAGTGGAGGTTTAGGACCAGAGTTTACCCTCTCCTAGATGGGCTGCCTTCCCAGATGTATGAGCTCCATCTGCCCCTCACTTCCGTCTAAAACAGGCACCCCCAACCTTCGGCCCTCCAGATGTTTTGGACTACAATTCCCATCACCCCTGACCACTGGTCCTGTTAGCTAGGGATCATGGGAGTTGTAGGCCAAAACATCTGGAGGGCTGCAGGTTGAGGATGCCTGGTTTAAAAGCATGTGCAGAAAAGGCCTTCTTGACCATTGGTACCACTCTTGGTCTTGTCCACTCAATCCACCAGAGCCTGTCTTTGCATGCAACTCATTGGCTACTCTCAGCTGGTTTTGGTGGCCAGTGGAAGCCGTTCCACAGGATATGACCACTGTCCCATGTGGACAGCTTCTAGGTGCCTCAGGTGAGAGCTGAGTGCATGGTGGAGACCAAAGGTACACAAACTATCCCAGAAGAAGCATGATGCGTCCCCACCAGAACAATTTAAAATGCAGCATTCAGGGCAACTTATGATCACCCAAATGTTGTTGTTTAGTCGTTTAGTCGTGTCCGACTCTTCGTGACCCCATGGACCAGAGCACGCCAGGCACTCCTGTCTTCCACTGCCTCCCGCAGTTTGGTCAAACTCATGCTGGTAGCTTCGAGAACACTGTCCAACCATCTCGTCCTCTGTCGTCCCCTTCTCCTTGTGCCCTCCATCTTTCCCAACATCAGGGTCTTTTCCAGGGAGTCTTCTCTTCTCATGAGGTGGCTGAAGTATTGGAGCCTCGGCTTCAGGCTCTGTCCTTCCAGTGAGCACTCAGGGCTGATTTCCTTCAGAATGCAGAGGTTTGATCTTCTTGCAGTCCATGGGACTCTCAAGTGTCTCCTCCAGCACCAGAATTCAAAAGCATCACCAAAATAGGATGGGTCTTAAAATAGGCATGCCAGGCATTTGCCTTTTGAACTTCTGAGGGTGGTGGAGCTACCAAAAGTCCTCTGCCCCGGGGCTGAGCTTAACACCTGAGAGGGTCTGTAGGGAATGAGGTGCTCTTTCAGGTATTGGGGGCCAGAGTCGTTTAGGGCTTTAAACATTGACCCCATTGAATTGGGTCCAGAAACAAACTATCAACCGGTGCAGCTGTTTTTAAACAGGAGTGATGTGAGATCTAAATGTAGCCCCTTCCAAACAGCCCTGCTCCCCCTTCCAAGCAGTCAACCACCACGATTTTTAGGTTTTAAGGGCACATTCTGCACAGGAAGCCCCGGCCTGGCAGCTGGACCAGGGAGGGGAACAGCATGCAAAAGCACAACATCAAGAAACTCAGCCCTTAACCCAGCAGTGTGTGCAGAAACCTTCTTCCGCCCATGTCGTCGTGTCCTCTAGGTGCATCGGGGCATAGTACATTTGTAATTGTACTTTGAATAAAATTAATGAATGTATTCTTTGGAATCCACCACTGAACTGTGTTGCAGGAACCCCCCCCCCAATCATTCAGTTTGTACAAACACCACACACACACACGACATACACAACGTTTCTGTTATAAATTCATAGTAAATCAACCATACATCGGATTTACACCGGTCCACTTTTATTTTATTCCATGAAGGAAGGACTATCAAAGGGGAGTGGTTTGATACAGGACGGCCATAATCCCTTAACCATACCAGCAAATACACAGGAGCCCTACCCAGTTGGCATGACAACCTTGATGGTCCCAGACAGAAGACCATCAAGGACACAACGGACTTTCATATGGGAGTGGATTCAACACGGACTGGAAGAAAGCACAATCATCAGATCTTCCCTCTGGGGGCAGGAAACTGCCAATTCCCCTTTGTCCTCTGGAAATGACTCATGGGGAGGGGGAAAGGAGGAACCAGCCAGGTGACAAGATACTCAGGTTAGCTCCACAACTCCTCCCTCAACCCCTCCTTTTTTGTGACGTAGTTGTGATGTAGTCTTAGGGGTGTAGTTTGGGGGATTAGTAACTAATAAAAGTTGGGGTCTTCTTTTGTTCTGGACTTCCATTTTGCTTCATCTTGATGCGGGTGGGAGTCCTGTCGCGACACTATTCAATAAAGGCCAAGCCTACAGGCTGCTGTTTTGCTCCAAGTTATCCTGGTTGGTGTCTTTGTCTTTTTGTCCAAAGGAGCCCTCGGATTTTTCTGTTAACAACTGGGAGGCAAGCCAGCTGTGGCTTCTTCATTCTCCCTCCCTCCTTCCTTTTGACAGCTTTCTCTCCCACCTGCAGTAGTTGGGAGGAGGACTGTGTGATGTAGTGGTTAGAGCAGACTTTCTCAACCTTTGATCCCTAGAGGTTGTTGGACTATAACTCCCATCATTCCTAGCCAGTATGGCCAGTGGTCAGGAACTGGTGGGAAACGTAGTTCAAGAACACCTGGAAAAGTTGAGAAAAGCTGGGTTAGAGTGTCAGACTAGCACCTGGGAAAGAGAGATTTATAATCCCCATTCAGCCATGAAGCTCACTGGGTGACTTTGAGCCAGCCACTCTCTTTCAGCCTAACCTACCTCACAGTGTTGTCGTGGGGAGTAAATGAGGAGAGGAAGAACCACTTTGAAGTTCTTGGAGAAAACGGGAATAATATAAATGCAACCAATCAATCAATCAATCAATGAATTCACAGCTGCGTTTCTGCTGGAGCAACAGTTAACTCGACCACGGAGACTGGGGAGAAATTCAGTTTGGTGTGCCTTTTAACGTCCTTTGAAATTTGCGCCTCTCCGAATTTTGCAACCAACCGAAACATCTGCACAAAAATGCGTTTATGAGGGGGAAAGTGTACACAGAGTCGCATATATTTCTGAAAATAAACTGCGACAGGCATTCTGCAAGGAAGCATCACTTGCCCAAATGTGTATACTCAGATCAAACCTGCCCTAAAATGCTGAAAAATTATTGTTTTGTTTTTTTTTTTAAAAAAAAAGCAAAATTGCAAATTGATGTGGAAACCTGGAAAACTAAATTTAAGATCTGAAAAAACCGAGAAACTGAAAGCTAACAGATTCTCCCATCCCTACTTAGGAATCTTAATTGCTATTGTTCTTTCTCAGTTTTCAGGTATGTCCTGCACAGGGATAAAAAAGGGATTAAAAAACTAAGGACAACCAGGCTCAGCGAGGCTGAACAAAGCTAGAAAACCATGCCAGAGACTCAAATTCCCTAAAATTACATTCTAAGACCAAAATGTCTGTCAAAGCAAATGGACAGAGGGGCATGTTGGGTAAAACTGCAGTTTTCTAGTGCATTATAAAATATTTTCCTGCCTCTTCTCTCTCATAAAGTACCGGTACTTGAAAGATGAACTGTCATCAATACCACCAGAGCAATCCTCTACATGTTTTCTCAAAAGTGTCCCATAGAGCTCTGTGGAATTTACTCCCCGGTAAAGTGCAGTTTTAAAAATATTGTACAGCTCTTAAAACAAGCATGCCTACAGTGTATCTCCACCCTTAAAAGGCAATCTCGGAGGTCAAAGGATTTCAGCTAATTGCCTAAAGCAGTAAATGAACCAGATGGATCGCACTTCGAATGTAGTTAGTTCCACTGGGGTCGTGTGGCAGAATAGAAAAAAATGGCCTTTGCCACCACAGGTATTGCAGAGTCCTCAAGGGCTAAAACTGCTGCT